TCCAGGCCTTGAACTATGGTCTGCTATGTGGGATTCCAGTACTTTAACTACCAAACCTCCTGTTGTTTTCTGAACTCACTGTTGGTTCCTGAACTCAACTTTTTAAAAAAAATTTTTTTTTTTAGGGTTTTGCCATAAGGTGCGCATGCTTGCCAGAGAAAGACAGAGAGAGACAGTGAGAGGGAAAGTGAGAAATCACCCCCCCCCGGGACGATAGCCATACCTCAATCCCTTCTCCTCCATTCTCTTCCAGGGGCATGTGTGCGCACGCACACACACACACACACAGCCACCAGGTCTGGGACTCAAACTGCCGTCAGTTATATGGGAGTCCAGAGCCTTAACCACCATGCCACCTGCTGGCTCTTGAACTCAGTATCTGAATGCATTTGTTGTGCAAGGTCCGTTCAGAGTATCCGGCTTAACCCAACATGTGTCTGACCTCACCCATGAAGACGTATAGCATGGCTACCCACCACTCTGTAAGCAACAACAGCTGTAAAAGAGAGAAGCTCCTTTGGCCTGGTCATCACCTAGCTGTGAGAGAGATAAAGATATTTCCTAAAATGGGATTCCATCTGTAATATCAAACGGCAGACAGAGCAAAACTAGAGGCTGGCACAGGGAGAGGACAAATCATCCATCCAAAGAAGAAAACAGAAAAAAGAATTCAATGAAGCATTTTCTTAGCCGTTAAGAGAGCTGCATCCCAACGTGAAGTTGACGATGACCCACCCAATTAAGTTTACATAGATAAGTGTTTCTGAAATCTCATAATATTTTAATAATTCAAAATTTTAAGAAATTATATATTTATCTCAAATGGTTTAGTACAGCTTAACTTCTGCATGTCTTCAAACCTTCTGGGGAAAGAAACACACCAGAATATACAACAACTTGTAGTTCCATCAGTGATAACTTAAAATCTTATAAAGGGCACTATTATGGACATTTTTAACCAAATAGGATTTTTTAAAATTAAAAATAAGATTAATTTACCTGTAGATTTTCAGCTGACCTTATTAAAGCCTTGGATGAAGTTTTTCGTTGTTTTCTGTATCCCATGCTTTAATGAATAACATTCTCGGATTTGCTGTGAACTGCTGAACAGAACAGAACAAGAAACTATCTGAATCACAAGTGAATATGGGGCACCATGACATCTAGAATCCATGCCCTGTGCCTGAGAGGTTGCTAAAGAAGCTTGCTGTCATGCAGCAACACTTTCGTTTTTAGAAAAACTTCCACCTTCTCTCCTCCCTCCTTGCTTTCACATGACCTCATGAGTGATAGATGGATATTTCATTATAATCTAGGGTTACATCTGGATATTGTTTTGATAAAAGATTTTATTTTCAGGACTAGAGTTACCCAACAGCCATTCATTTGAATGAACCTTTTCATCTAAGAGAAATGTCACGCTCTCAGCCCAGCTGCAGCCAGAGCATGTCCCTGAGCAATGGCAGCAGGTCGTCAAGAGGCCTCCACTCTAGACAAGGCTCACCCACCTGTAGTCCTCGCCAACCGGAAGGCTGGTGCAGGAAGGACTGCACCCAGGCTGCCTGTCAAAAATAACGATCTTCCCCAAACCCCACTTAATAAATAAATAAATAAATAAATAAAAGCCATAGACTCTTTTCTCTTACTATTACATGGTTCCCTCTAGATTGATGCAAGTTTAGTAATTCATTTTATCAGGCATCAATTTATCCTAAGAGCGCAAACTCAGGTCCCAGCCACTAAGCTTTCTAAACTGTCGGGGGGGGGGGGAGG